ATATTGATCAGACTTTGAATGGATCTGCACATTTATGATCCTAGAACTTGAGTGGTGAGGCAGGAGGATCAGGAGTTCAAGGCCAGCCTAAGTTACATAGCAAGTTTGAAGACAGCTTGGACCATATGAGCTTCTAAAAAACAAAACAAAATAAAACAGAAACAAAGCAAAAAACAGAATAAATAAATGCATAAATGGTTAAAAACATCATACATACTCTAACCCTGCCTTACCAATTATCTACTTAAGATTTATTCCTTATGTAAAAATAAACAAGCACATCCATTTAATTAATAAGAAAATTTGTTTTTATCTTTTATAATAGCAAAAATGGTATGTATGGTAGAGTTGCTTAAACACTTTTTGTTATGATTTATCATCACTAAATATTTGAATTTGCATACTTATTTTATAAATCTATTTTCCCAGGGTCCTACAAATTTCTAGAATGAAGCATTGTGGCAAAGTAGAAAAAAGCAGCCCTGGTATAAAATACAAACACATATAAAATAAAATAGAATCGTAAGTCAATGCGGTGACAAAGCAATGCAAAGCAAAGTAAGCTGAAATTCATAATTGAGAGAAACATGTGCGCCCCCCCCCACACAGGGTTTCATGTGGAATACATATTGGGCAAGTTGCTTATAGAGATTCAACTTTACTTTTCCAGATGGCTATACTCACTTGTCCTAAATCATCTGTTGAATAATCTATCTTTTCCACACTGACGTGAAATGACAGTTATATTTTTAAAACTAGGTACAAGGTATTTTCCAAATAAGCTCAATCTAACCCACTATCCCCCCAATATGCAAGGACTTATTGTATTTTTGAAGTTCTATTTATTTTCCTCTACACTTCCAACCTTAGCCAAATCTGGGTGGCAGTTGTCACCATGGGATATCTCTAGCATTACCTCATCACAGACATGAGACTGCAAAAGGATGATACTTGAGGTGCTGATGGCAGGAGTCATGACACAGTGCCTTGAAGGTTTGTGGAGGACACTTTAGGAGAGCTGGATCACTCTGAATTTGCCACATCTCTGAACAGAGCCTGCCGATTCAGTGTATTTAGAGAAATAATAAAGTCTGCAGGGCTGGAGAGATGGCTCAGAGGTTAAGAGCGTTGCCTGCTCTTCCAAAGGTCCTGAGTACAATTCCCAGCAACCACATGGTGGCTCACAACCATCTCTAATGGGCTCTGCTGCCCTCTTCTGGCCTGCAGGGATACACACAGACAGAATATTGTACACATAATAAATAAATATTTTTAAAAAAAATAATAAAGTCTGCAATTTCCAAGGAAGAGCTGTGCCAGTGTGTTGGAGGAGGCCACTAGTTAGTTCCCGGCCACTTAGCCCTGAAATAATCACACAGCTTGGCCCATTAGCTTTAGCTTTTTATTGGCTAACTCTTATATCTTAATTTAAGCCATCTCCATTAATCTGTGCATCACCACAAGGTTGTGGCCTACCAGCAAAGTTTCAGCATGCCTGTCTCTGGCAGTGGCTTCATGGCTTCTCTCTGACTCCACCTCCTTTTTCCCAGCATTCAGTTTAGTTTTCCCCACCTAGCTCCGTTCCCCTATAGCTCTTGTATAGGCCAGAAGAAGTTCCTTTATTAACCAATGATATTCACAGCATACAGAGGGAAATCCCACATCACCAGTGGGTGTAACCCTCATACCTCAATGACAGTTGTCCACTTCTGATTCCATCAGAGATAATTCATTTATTTGAGATAATTGGAATTTTTTTATGTTAAAGTCAACAGCAAGACGTAGTACAGTGTGCTGACCAAAGGGAATGACCTCTTTGGTAGAAGGATTAGATTCACGTTTCTTATTTTGATCTAACCTAAGTAAGCATAAGGGTTAGGCTTGACTCATTTGAGCATGGGTTTGCATCTTCATCTGTGGAAGGTTATTGGGTGTAAGATTGTTCTACTTTCAGCAGAGTAGAAGACTGCAACTGTGTAGTGATGTGATTCCTCCTAGTCATCCATTTCAAACATTCTTTTAATGTTTTCAGAGAGAGTCTCACTGTGCTGTAGGCTAGTCTGGCTTGGACCTTGCCATGTAGTCCAGGCTGGCCTATAACCACCAATCATCATGGTTCAGTCCCCCTGAGTTCTAGAGTTATAGGCATGGTTCATCATACTTCATTGAAAAACTTCCTTATGAGCCGGGCGGTGGTGGCACACGCCTTTAATCCCAGCACCTGGGAGGCAGAGGCAGGAGGATCTCTGTGAGTTCGAGTCCAGCCTGGTCTACAAGAGCAAGTTCCAAGACAGGCTCCAAAACCACAGAGAAACCCTGTCTCGAAAGAAAAAAAAAAAGAAAAAAAAAAGAAAGAAAGAAAAGAAAAAGAAAAACTTCCTTATGTTGATTTCTGAACATATGGGGAAAAAATTCTCCTGGTCATAAATGAAGAAGGCACAGGTATTATCTTTTTTAATTGACATTTATTAAGCTCTACATTTTTCTCTGCTCCCCTCCCTGTCTCTCCCCTCTCCCCTTCAATCTCTCCCCCAAGGTCCCCATGCCCCCAGTTTACTCAGGAGATCTTGTCTGGCACAGGTATTATCTTATGAAGCTCATAAAAGACAGGTGTTTATTTGGAAGAAGGACGTGCAATGGAATAGTAGTGTGAATTGGAGGCAGAACATGCCAGTCTCCTAATTCCAGATTGGAATGTGGGCTCTGTGATGCACTCCAATTCAACTGTGAGACTCGTTCCAAAGACTCCTCCTAGGGCGGGGTGTGAATTACATCGAATGCTGGTAGCATTTCTTAAATCTTTTTTCCTAGAATGGCATTTAATTTAGAGTTATTGCCAATTTATTTTTGGAAGACTCTGGCTTGTAATTCCTAACAGTGTGGAAGCTGTGTTCATGTAGCAGCTTGAAAGTCACCTCAGCCATAATGCTTTTATGGTGCCTCACTGATGCCACCTCAAATGCTGGGGACAATAACACAACTCTGTGATGGTTTGGTTAAAGCCTCATTATTGAAAATGGTGTATAAAAGACATATGTTTAAAACATTTGAATCAATGTCTTCACCCTGGATCTCCGCCACCAGGCTGAGAAGTGATGGGTCAATGACTTTGGAAAGGTGAGTTTTGGTTAGTCATTGTTGAAGATAAGACAACACCTAAAATTCTATTGGAAGTGAATGGGAAAAGAGTACCAATTCTTAAAAGTCAGAGCATAGGGAACCCGAAATGACCCTATCCTATAGCAATACTGACGAATATCTTGCATATCATCATAGAACCTTCATCTGGTGATGGATGGAGATAGAGATAGAGACCCACACTGGAGCACTGGACTGAGCTCCCAAGGTCCCAATGAGGAGCAGAAGGAGGGAGAACATGAGCAAAGAATTCGGGACCACGAGGGATGCACCCACCCACTGAGACAGTGGAGCTGATCTATTGGGAGCTCACCAAGGCCAGCTGGACTGTGACTGAAAAAGCATGGGATAAAACTGGACTCTCTGAGCATGGCGAACAATGAGGGCTGATGAGAAGCCAAAGACAATGGCACGGGGTTTTGAACCTACATAATGTGCTGGCTTTGTGGGAGCCTAGCCAGTTTGGATGTTCACCTTCCTAGAAATGGATGGAGAGGGGAGGACCTAGGACTTACCACAGGGCAGGGAACCCTGACTGCTCTTTGGACTGGAGAGGGATGGGGAGAGGAGTAGGGGGAGGGGGAGAAGGGTGGGGGGAGGGGGAGAAGGGTGGGGGGAGGGGGAGAAGGGTGGGAGGAGGGGGAGGGAAATGGGAGGCTGGGAGGAGGTGGAAACTTGTTTTTTTTTCTCCTTTTCTCAATAAAAAAATGGAAAAAAAAAGTCAGAGCACAAGGTTAATGGGATAACTTCGATAATATAGGCCTGCAGAAGGTTGCCAAGCCAGAGAGCAACAGGTCAAGAATATAAACAGAGTCTGGTGAGCCGAGTGGAGCTTATAAAACACTTTCTGGCAAATAGCATATGAAAGAAGGGCATGAACAGAAGGACTCATGAGCATAGGACACTGTGAGTTTATACAGCACTTGGCACTAATCATAGAGGTCACTGTACAGAATGCCATACATTTCCTTTTTCATAGACCAAAAGAAAAATGTCTGCCCACGTGATTCCTGCCAAGTAAGAAATGAAAGAGAATAAGGTGGTTTATCCCTCATTTGATCATTACTGGAAGGTAAAAACCAGCAAACAAAATTATGCCAAGATATAGTTACTTCTATCCATCCCGTAGTGCAAAGGTCTCTTGAGGTAACGTTTAAGCATATCAATTGAACTACTTTTGATGGCAGAGGGATGAGTGAGCATGTGGGCTTTCAGGGCTGAGAGGTAAGTCTAAGAGTTAATTCATTGTTCGCCAAAGGTCAAGGAATAGTTCAGTGGTATAGTTCTTCCTTTGTTAGGATGAGTACTATCAAACAAATGTACTGAGCGCCTGATTACTGTGCCGAAAACTTAAGCTTTTGTCAAGCAGAAAAAAAAAGAGTTTATTGATAAAAGGAATATAAGTTGCAATATCTTCTTTCCTAGTTAATTTTCTTGAGTGCGGTCTCCTGAAGGATTTAAAGCAGACTTCCTATTCAGGGAGCAGAGGCTGCCAGAGTCTTTGTTCTGATTTACACTAACTAGTTAATCCTCTGTGCCCCAAACCTATAAGTTTGAATGGTTTCATGGCACTTATGTACAGGAACTAACTACAAAATCCCAACTATATTGGATGCCCAGCATCTAGCGTGTGGCATGCGCAGAAGTGATTCAAATCCAAATTTGGGGCTGGTGATGAGTCGGTGCGCAGGAGTTCCACATTAAGTCACAATTGGCTTTGTGCTGGAGAGCGCATAGCATTTGGTGTAATCAGGCCCAGAGGAGAGCTAGAGTTTCTTGTAACAACAACACAGCACCTGATCACCCAGTTGTGACCGAAGAGGACTCTTGTGATCCCAGACTAGAAGTGTCGCCTTGTCGTGATGTCCATCCAAGAGAAGATATCCACAGCAGATTTGATGGAGAGCCTTCGGGAAGAGCTCACCTGTTTTATCTGTTTGGACTATTTCAACAGTCCGGTGACCACCGAGTGTGGGCACAGCTTTTGCCTGATGTGTCTCCTCAAGAGCTGGGAGGAGCATAACACACCTTTATCTTGTCCCGAGTGCTGGAGGACTTTGGGAGCCCCTCATTTCCAAGCCAATGAGCGACTGGGGAGACTGGCTAGCATTGGCAGGCATTTGAGATCTCAGGTCCTGCAGAGTGAGGATGAGCAGAGCAGTTGTGGGAGAACGCCAGGAGCCAGCAGGGTGTTCTCTGATGATGAACAGAGTGTAGTTAATTTCTCAACACAAAGTCATGGCATGAACAGGGCATATTTCTCCAACGAGGCCGAGGAACAACACAAAGTAAGTTGACTTGCTCAGTGGCAACCTCAGAGCGCAGAACTGGTCCTTTCCCTTAATTCTCATAGTAGTGGTCTTTGTTGGTGATAGCCATGGGCATATATCTTCAGAATAGCACATCACACACTGGCGCTTGGATCTTACTTCCACCGTTTCTTTGAGAGTCTCAGTCGTCTTCTAATTGTTGGCTACTGGCCAATCAACGTGTTGTTAAACTAATATGAGAGGCAAATCTTTACAGCATACAAGAGCACAGTATCTAGTGACTAGTTTTCCTGATCTTTTCACCATCGGGTACTCTGCCAAGGGGTTTCTTTCTACTGCAGGAAAAACTCCAGGACATCATCAACCTTTTACGGAAAAAGAAGAAGGAAGCTCAGGCCATACTGAACCACGAGAAGGAGCGAGTGATGCTGTGTAAGGTCAGTGTCTGTCTGATATTGGGCTTGTGTGTGAGATGACTGGTGAAACATGAGGGAGAGAGGACCACTGTGAGTCCTGCCTTGGGGCTGCCTGGCTCTGTTTATTCGCCTGGGGACAGGACAGTTCTGCTCAACTTCTCTCATCCCAGGTAGATTTATGTTTCCTTCTTTATCTTCCTTGGTTAGCTGCTGTGATGAATCTGATTAATACTATTTAAAATACAAGCAACAGATTTGAAAGACAGGATGGAAGCCGGTTTTAAAAGCGAGTCTCTCAAATGCTTAGGGAAAAACTGTATGCAAATTAAAAGCAAGTAAAGCAGAAGGGACAATAATGGCATAATAGTAGATTGAATTGTACTGGAACGAATGCCTAAGGTTAGTCACAGATTTGGATTTCAATTGCCTAGCAGTTAAAGCGAAGAATTAAATGTTTAATATGGCACAGTGTAGATATTAGGGCTGGGGAGGACAGAACCTACATAAAAGCTATAGGACAAATATTTTAACTCTGTGGGAGGCACGTGTGTGTGTGTATACAACCACGCGCGCAAGCGCGCGAGTGCACACACACACACACACATACACACACACCTACCTATTTCCTCATGCATTTGAAGTGAATATTTGAATTTCCCAAAGACTCTGAGGACTTTTGTTCATTTGAGGCATCCTCTCCCTGAGTAACCGAGGCTAGATTCGAACTCATGATTTACCTTTTCCTGTCTTAGGCCCCCTAAGTGCTGGAATTTCAGGTGTGCTGTACTACCATTCATGACAGACTTTGAGTTCTTTTATCTTATTTGTTTTGGGAGACATGATCTTGCTGAATGATCCTGGCTGGCCATGAATTCGCTGTGTAGATGAACAGGCTGACCTCAAATTTTGCGTCCATCCTCCTGCCTCTGCCTCTGCCTCTGCCTCCAGAGTACTGGTTTTACATTCATGTGCCACCACGTCAGCTTAGATCTAGAACGTAATGGTAACTTTTTGTGATGTATTCCTTGCATGTTATCTGATGCCAAGTTTATTTTTAAAATCAATATATGTCTAATAATGTACACATTCATCTTTCACGTTTACTCTTTTTGAGTTTCATTTATTTTAATACATGTTTCCTTTTAATTTTAATTTTCTTTTCAGTTTTTTTCCTCTTTTAAATTTCGTTTTATTTTTACCGGGTGTAGTGGCACTTACCTTTAATCCCAACACTCTGAAGGCAGAGGCAAGTGTATCCCTGAGATTTCAAGGCTGCATAGTAAGTTCCAGAACAGCCAGAGTTACATAGCCAGACCCTGATTCTAAAAACAAAACAAAACAAAAAGCAAGAGACCAAACTTTTTAATTTTATATTTTCAAACAGTGCTGATTACTACATGTCAGACTTTGTAATTCTTTTTTCTTTTTTTTTCTCCTTTTTTTTTTTTTTTGGTCCGTTTGCAGTAGAAAAGACAGTTCTTAGGTTAGAAAATCTGATAGTGTTGATTACTGTGGCTGTACACATATTTCAAAACTTTGCTCTTTATCCACCTAGTCAATATAAGGTATGCGTTCTAGGAGTGTTTCTGTTGCTAACATTGTGTGTGTGTGTGTGTGCGCGTGCGCGTGCATAGGCCCGAGCGCACGAGCATGCTCGAGCATTGATGTGCACATGCAATAGCAGGAGGAGACAAAGACGTGTAAGCAAGTCGTCCTGTCGGAATATATGAAGATGCACCAGTTTCTGAAGGAGGAGGAACAGCTGCAGCTGCAGATGCTGGACAAGGAGGAGAAACAGAACATGAAGAAACTGAGAGACAATGAGATCCACCTGACCCAGCAAGTCAGACGCCTCAACAAGATGATCGGACGGATAGAGTCCACCTGTCAAAACTTGACCTTAGAGTCTTTTGAGGTGAGGCAAAATTCAGGAGGATGACAGGGAAAATGAAGGAAAAAAATATGCACAGTGACCCGCAGTATTTCAATCCATAGGAATTTATATTTTCCGGTTTTCATCTGAAAAATAAGTTCTGCGTCAAAAGTAGTTTTCCTAAGGAATTGATTTTTCTGGATATGATATATTCTTTAAAAGGAGGAGAAATCAAACAAAGGGGGAAAAGACAAGCTCAGAGATGACTGTAGTTTCTTCTGGAGCTGCCTGTGCAAACTCAGCTTTGTTTAGTAATTCATTATTTATTGGTAGCTAGTGTGGATGGTCAATTTAGTCTCCTCAAAGATCTGGGGAGGGTGAGCAAGAGTGTCACAGCCTAGAAGTGATTGTCATCTACAAAACAGATCTGGAGTAGCAAATATTTACTAATTAGACTCATGGCAGTTAAGGATATCTGTTGGTCCTACAGCTAAGAGGGGGCAGAACCCATGTGTCCTTGTGCCAAGCCCACTGTTCCATCTTTGTTTACTTCCTCCCTAAGGTATGGCACTCATAATATCCCAGTCATAAGCCATGAGAACCACCTCAGCTTCACGTTCACTGACGCTCAGATTCTGCAGAGTGCTGTCTAATTCTTTGTCTTCTGAATGACTAAACGACATCAAAAAACAGAGCATAGACTTGGTCTCAGCTCTCGCTGAGTCATTTTTCTGAGTCATCTGAGTCTCGCCAAGTCATCTCCGGTTCTGGGACATGACATTATTTTTTTTTAAAGATTTATTTATTTATTACATATACAGTGTTCTGCTTGCATGTATACTTTCAGGCCAGAAGAGGCCACCAGATCTCATTACAGATGGTTGTGAGCCACCATGTGGTTGCTGGGAATTGAACTCAGGACCTCTGGAAGAGCAGTCAGTGCTCTTAACCTCTGAGCCATCTCTCCAGCCCCGGGACATGACATTATTATTTGGCTTCATTATGAACAAGAGAAAGGGACTTAGAAGTCCCAGTGTTCTTTGAGCCATATATAGGCTGCTAATGGTTGCATAGGGGTGGGAGAGACATTTTTTTCAATGAGGTAGTCACTAGTAAGATGCCCATGTTTTGTACATAATCTCTAACCCATGCCCCCATAAATAACCCTAACTAAACTCATTGGGTCATAAACAAACAAACAGGTAATGTGAGTAGAATTGCCGACACACTGGGAAGAGGAAGGGGTTGAATAAGAGGACAGATCAAAACCCCTTATTTACATATATGTATACATCAAAATATATTATATCCTCGTGTAAAAGTGTCAGGATGCAATCCATTATTATGCATAATGAATTTATGCAAACAAAGTTAAAACACATTTTAACAAAGACTTTAAGAGACAAGAGATTGTTTAGTGGGTAAGGTCACTGCTAGCAAGGCTAACTACCTGAATTCTGTCCATGACTGGGATCCATGTGGTACAAGGACAGACTCCATTAGCTGTCTTCTCACCTCCATATTTGTGCTGTGGCCAGTCACTTTCCCTATATACAAATAAGATGCTATTTTCTTTTTAAAAAAATCAAAAGCATGGATGTGAAAAGAGAACAAATGATTTTTTGGTCAGTGTGAGAATTACCTCATGTTCATCAAAACCCATCCTTAGGAGAAGCTGGGACTTTATACTCTTCTGCCCTGTCTGTCACACCCTCTCGCGGTGTGCTAGGACCATGGAAGCAGATTGTGTAAAACTACCAAAAGACTGTGATGAAAATGGATTTGGTGCTCGCTAGTGATTGACATGAGCAGCTAGTAACCTTCTTGTCTTTCCTTCCTTAGGAAGTCAGAGGAGCCATGGATCGGTAGGTTTCTATCACATCTCCAGCATGTGGCACATAGGGATCTAGTACTGATGAAATGGTGATGACGTGGGGATGAGGATGTGGATGTTGTTGGGGAGAGATGATATGGATCATGAGGTTGGACCAGGCCATGTAGCATGCGTCAAGGAGAGAATGAGGCTGTCTTTTCTCTTGGAAGGTGTGAGTCACTGTTGCTCCAGTGTCCAGAGACCACCGTCACGGAGCTGAGCCTGTGCCGTGTCACTGGGATGAGGGAGATGCTGAGAAAATTCAGCAGTAAGTCCACCTCCTTGTCACACGTCCAGGGATTTCCATAGTTAAGTTCAGCACATGTTTTGGGCACCACTGAGCTCGTGGGCAGCTTCTTCTACCATAAAATATTCTGATACAAGGGTCCCAGGTCCAGTATCCCTGAACTCGTGCTGAGCACCAAGTTACAAACACTGCCTGTGCTCGAGCCAAGAGGCAGAGAGCTTGCTTGCTGTTCTGTGAGGCTCTGCTTGTTGTGACTAGGTCTTTGGTCCTGCTTTTGCCTGCTTTTGTCACCTCGTTCTGTGATATGCACACACCACACACGCCACACACGCCACACACAATAATCCTCACGGAGAGGATCCTGCTTTGTCAGCTCTCTTCCTGTTAGGATAAACGCTGGTTTAAATGCTTTTGTTTTAATCTTTGTGTGCAGGCAGGCAGTGGTGTGTGTGTGTGTGTGTGTGTGTGTGTGTGTGTGTGTGCGCGTGTGCGCGCACACACACAGGTTTATGTTCCATGTAATGGATATAGAGGTCACATGACAACCTTGGGTTAAGTCTTTGACTCTTTGTTTGAGGCAGGTCTTTCTATTTGTCACACCTAGATGCTCTGGGAATATATTTGACTAGAAGCTGTCTAAGTTGGATTGTTATCTGTAACGGTAAACTAACACCATTATTCAAAGATGGGGGTATGTGTAGCCTGATTCATATTGGGATGGGGGAGTCCTGAAGTTACTAGGTGCATTGATTGGAGAAGGGGTGTGTACACAGTGCATGCAGATGAAGGAACTAGAATGTCCAAGTACATTATTACAGGAGGGTCTATATGGGAACAACTCAAAACCAAATGGGGTCCTAAACCTGCCTGCTTTTTTGCCTGCTTCAATGAGGGCCAATGATCCCATCTGGGGTTAGTGAAATTTTGGAGCCTTTCATGGACTTCCTCACAGGTGCGTGGAGATAAAGTGCTCCCAGTAGCTCACATATGCTTTATGGCATTGTCACCTTGGTGCTAACACACACAAAGCTGCATTTGACCACGGTGCACTGAAAAATAGGAATTAGAAGTTTGCTGTTATAACAAGCAATGATTTTGTAATCTTAGTAAAATTGACCTCTTAAGGATTTTATTTTTCTTTTTAATTTATTTTTATTTAATTGTCATGCATTTATTAAACAAGGCCTCATACATCTTTGGCTGGCCTAGAACTGCCTGTGTAGTCAAGGGTGACCTTGAATTTCTAATCTTCCTAATTTCACTTCCCGAGTGCAGTGACCACAGGTTTGTTTAACCACACCGGGTTTTGTGCAGTGCTGGGGTTTGAACCCAGGGCTTCGTGCACATTAGGCAGGCATTCCACTAACAGTGCAATGCCCCCAGGCCTCCTTTCAAATTGATTTTCTTTTTTTTTAAATATTTGTTATTAGCTGTGTGTATTTATGTGGGCCTGTGGGGGGAGGGTACACATGAATTCAGGTACCTGAGAAGGGTAAAGCTGTTAGGTCCCCTAGAGATGGCATTTCAGGAAGTTGTGAGCCACCAGATAGGAGTGCCGGGGATATAATTCAGGACCTCTGGAAGAGCATCATGTACTTTTAACCATAGAGTCATCTTTCTAGCCCTTGTTATATTTATTTATTTATTATTTGACAGAGTCATGCTATGTAGCCCAGACTGACCTCAAAGTTATGGCATCTTCCTGCTGCAGCCTTTTGAGTATTGGGATTACAGGCCTGTGCCATCTTGGCTTGGGTTAACTTTTAAATTTTTATTATCATTACAACAATTATTACAGCATTGGGGATTGCACCCAGGGCATTGTGTATTGTAGATGCTAAAGAAGTACTCTGTCCCTGAGTTATATCTCTATAACATTTTTTAGAAATTAAATAATAATTAATTGTAATAATGGAGACAAGGTCTCATAGAACCCATGATGGCCTCCAATTCACTATGTAACTGAAGATGACCTTAAATTCCTGCTTCTCTTGCCTCCACCTCCTGAGTGCACAGATTATAGATATATGGCCACCATACCTAGCCAATATGTATATATTTATATATGTATATACACACATATATATTTAATAAAACTATAGTCATATATATTATGTATTTCATACACATGAAAAATTATGATTGATACAATGATGAAATGCAATAATACATAGAAAAGCAGGATTTGCATTTAGAAAGAGTCCAACAAATGTTAATGAACAATTTAACAAATGTTAATTAGCAAATGTTAATGTCTCTCTCTTTTCCAACTGCAAAAATTCTGCTATGGCTAACAGCAAGGGCATCTTTGTATGGACAGATAACCTAAATTCTGAAACTGTCTTCTCTAGAAAACCAATTTCCTTACACTTCCAGGTTCCTCTAACCCTGGCAAGTGTGCAGAGTCTCTGCATGTGACTATTCTATCTCTTCTGATAGCGAAGGGGGCAGACAGGGTCTTATTATATATACCTGGCTAGCCTTAAACTCATGGCGGTCCTCCTGCCTAAACTTCCTAAATATTGGGATTACTGACACATGACACCAAGTCTAACTAGAGATGGACTTTTTTCTTTCTTTCTCTCTTTCTCTCTTCCTTTCTTTTTCTTTTTTGGAGACAGGGCTTCTTTGTAACCCTGACTGTCCTGGAACTTGCTTTGTAGACCAGGGTGTCCTGGAACTCACAGAGATCTTGCCCATACCTCCCAAATGCTGGGATTAAAGGTGTGTGTCACTACCACTAGGGTGGACTTTTTTCTTTTCTAAAGAATGCTATCTCAGCAGATCTACTTCAATTACATTTAAAAACATTTTTGTTTATTTTGAAATAGGGTCTTATACTATAAACCAGGCTGCTCTTGAACTCACTACGTGGAGCAGTTTGGCTTCAATCTTGGTTCTGAAACCAGATATTGCTGTGTAGCCCAGGATATCCTTCTATTTACCTTGTAGTCCAGGCTGGATTTGAACTCATACACTCTTGTGTTAGGTTTATAAGTGCTGGAATTGCTTGCCTAGCTAACACCCAAATTACATTTAAAGAATAGATTTAGCTGGGCTTGGTAGTTGTGCCTAAATCCCAGCACTGAAGGTGCTAACACAGGAGAGAACTGCCAAATTCAAGACCCAGCCTGGGTTGCTTAGTTATGTTTTATCTCAAAAACAAATAAATAATAATAGGGCTAGCTATTAAGGATTTAGTTTAATATTAACATATATGGGTGGTTTCCAAGGATGTCCAACCATTCATTCTTTTCTCTTCTTGCAGCAGATGTAACTCTAGACCCAGCCACAGCCAATGCCTACCTAGTTTTGTCAGATGATCTGAAAAGTGTGAAATATGGAGGAACCAGACAGCAATTGCCTGACAACCCAGAAAGATTCGATCAGTCTGCCACTGTGTTGGGAGCTCAGATCTTCACCTGTGGGAGGCACTACTGGGAGGTGGAAGTGGGGAAGAAGACTGAGTGGGAAGTGGGCATCTGCAAGGACTCTGTGATCAGAAAGGGGAATCTCCCCAAACCCCCTGGGGACCTCTTCTCACTCATAGGGTTAAAAATCGGTGATGATTACAGTCTCTGGGTTTCATCACCTTTGAAAGGTCAGCATGTCCGAGAGCCTGTGCATAAGGTCGGTGTGTTCTTGGACTATGAGTCTGGACATATAGCATTCTACAACGTGACGGATGAGTCCCTCATTTACAGCTTCCCATCGACCTCTTTCCATGAAGCTCTCAGACCCATCTTCTCCCCTTGTCTTCCAAATGAAGGAACAAACACAGACCCTCTTATCATCTGTCACATCTGAGGGATGTGCCCTGAACCTTTGAAGACAGAGCAAGGACCAGCCTAATCATTGAGATGGTTAGTGCATTCAGAAACCTTCACAAATCAAATAATCTGAAAAGGAAAAAAAAAAGAAGAAAAAGAAAATCCTTTCTCCCCCAAGACTTCCCACCAACCCAGTTCTGCGATGAAGAGTCAATTAAAAATCTATTCAACACCAAGAACTAGAAGCCGATACCCTGACTTAACCCAGTCTGTTCACTGAGCTACCCTGTGTGTGCTGGCCACTCAACATACGTACTCCTCTTTGACCTGTCAGTCTGGCATAGGCCAGGTTGAAAAATACACATCATTTTTTTCAGTCTGTTTATTTGCTTTTCTAGCACCGTGCATCTTGTGTTTTTATCTAACATGTATAGATAACATGCTTATCTGCATGGTCCCCTCAAGAGTGAGTTCCTCCATCTAGAGTGGGTGATGGAGACTTAGGATTCAGCCTCCTCTAGAAACCTACGTTTTCCCACAAGGCTTGAACTACTCATCCCCAGGAAGGCTTACAAGTTTAGGATGCCGTTTAGATTTGCTATGGTCATCATCAGACGATTAGTGTTACTATTATCTTAAGAGCCTAGAATTTTCTATAGATTATTGCTGATAAAGGTCTGGTCAATAAACCTATTAAGGCAATGGACACCAAATGGCTTGGGGTTTTCACTGTGGGTGTTGGCTATACTTGATAACTTTCTGAGAGCAGAAGTCTTTTCGTCCCTGGAAGGTGGATGTTAGCCTTTGCCATCTCAGAATGCCAGGGCCTGGGGGGATGACAGTGAGTTCAGACGGAACTCCTTTGAGTGGTCATACCACCTGCTAAAAAGAGGCCTGCAGACATGAATCCCATTTTGTGGTCTCAACCTTTGGCATTTTTCTGTCCCTCTTTTTAAAAATAGAAATCTACCTTACGTTGAAGAATGTCACCAATCATAATGTCACAGAAAAGACAAGTCAACTGATAGGTCTTGACTACCACACAGCTGCCTAATTAAAGGTTTTCAGGGGGAAAATGTCATGGGTTTTGTCTAAAATAGAAACTAGATGTGTGTGTGTGTGTGTGTGTGTGTGAGAGAGAGAGAGAGAGAGAGAGAGAGAGAGAGAGAGAGAGAGAGAGACTTACTCTTGAGCCGGGCACAGCGGTACATACCTGTGATCACTGTAATCACAGTGTGAATGGAGGCAGCAGGAGGATCAGAAATTCAAATTCAGTTTTGATTACACAGTGAGTCTGAGGCCAGCCTAGGCTTCATGGGACCTTTTTTCAACAACAACATCAACAAAACAAACTCTATTTACTCAGCGTGCAAGACCCACGTGAAGTCAGTAAAGGATTTGTATTATGGGTCACGATCGTCCCCTTCCTCGACCTAAATATACTTTCTCTTTTAGTGTGATACATTTCAGCTTTGTGCCCCAGAAAGGGAGGGAACAGATATGAAGAACCAGCTTTAGATGCTAGAAAACACTCGCTTCTCTGTGTTTATATTTGCGTTTTCCTTCTGTCACCATACATAGTCCCAGTTGATGACTGGGGTGGCATCATATTTAGTGACGGTCAGATTTCTTTCTCATTTACTATCAAAATAAATAGTTTTTTTTTTTTGAGACAGGGTTTGTGTACTCCTGGCTATCCTGGAACTTACTCCGTAGACCAGGCTCTTCTTGAACTTGTGTATCCTCCTGCTGCCTGCTTCTTCCTCTCTGTCTCTCTGCCTCTCTGCCTCTGGGATTAAAGGTGAGCAGCACCATGTCTGGCCCCTTGCCAATTTCTGTATACAGTATTCTGCCTGCATGTATGCTGGCACACCAGAAGCAGGCACCAGATCTCATTACATATGATTGTGAGCCACCATGCGGTTGCTGAGAATTGAACTCAGGACTGCAGGAAGACAGTCATCTCTCCAGCCCTAGAAAGTGACCCTCAAAAACTCAGGCTGTCCCTGGGTGGGCTTATACCACCAACCTTTTGGTTAACAGCCCAGAGCACTAATCGATTGTCCCACAGAGATGGTGACTCCAATTTCTGTTGTCATTCCCTTACTGTGAACATTTAGAATAGCTCTATTTGTAGCTGTTCCAAATGTACACAAATCTTTGAGTGTGTCTAATGATCCCCAGGTGTGTTTTCTGCAAGCCAAACGGTGCCTGACAGACCCCATGGCCCTGTACAGATGCTCCAAACAGGCTTAGGTAGCCCCAAGGATTTTACTCATCATTGTACTAACGGAGCAGAAATCACAAATCTTAGGCAAGGAGAAGAGTATGCCCTCTGTTCCATCTTCCAGGAAGGACTGCCTGGTGTGGTGGTGCACAGCTTTATCCCAGCACTCAGTAGGCAGAGGCAGGTGGATTTCTGCGAGTTCAAGGCCAGCCTGGTCTACAGAGAGTTTCAGGACAGCCAGGGCTACATAGAGAAAGCATGTCTGGAAAAGCATATGTATAACCCAAGACAAGACAAGACAAAATCAGAAGGTTTAGTGTAAAAACTTGGAGTATGATTCTTCACGAAGCATTTCGACTCTCACAGAGTGATCTGCTCCTTGGAAAAATGAGAAGCACCTATATTGTTGGTTTTCCTCGGCCCTGCAAGTGATTACTTCAAAAAAATTTTCAGAAAAGACTCAGGAAAAGCACAGGATATTCATAAAATATAGAAAATGGCATCAAGGCCGGGCGATGGTGGTGCACGCCTTTAATCCCAGCACTCGGGAGGCAGAGGCAGGCAGATCTCTGTGAGTTCGAGACCAGCCTAGTTTACAGAGCTAGTTCCAGGACAGGCTCCAAAGCCACAGAGAAACCCTGTCTCGAAAAAAACAAAAAAAAAAAAAAAGAAAGAAAATGGCATCAAATCATTTGGCATATAAGAGGGAACACAGTAAAAGTCAGAAAAAGAGAAAAAAAAGAACGTGTGGGTTAGTTTTTCATATTTTACAGAAGTCCTTTTGACCAAGCAGGCATAGTGGCACACAACTGTAATCTCAGCGCTTCGAAGATGTGAAGGAAGGAGGTGAGGGATGGAGAGAGAGAGAGAGAGAGAGAGAGAGAAGAGGAGAGACTCACCATTGTCTAGGATGCCCTGTAATAGATTTTAATTGGCTTCTGGTATGAAGCAAGTTTTTATGAGGTTCGAAGCTCATGCAAATGAAATAATTTAAAAGATTAATAATAAAAAAATTACCAATAATAAAATAGGGTCAGAATCTCTAGCAAAGGAGTGGCCTGACGCTTATTACCTTTGTGTATATCCATTTCTGGTTAGCCAGGTGCAAAAATAAGGTAGAGAGGCCGGGCAGCAAGCACCCTAGCCTCCAGCTGCAGCTCTCTGCCTACTTACTCTACCACCCCAGGCTGATTTCTCTATCTTCCTGTGCCTCAGTCTCCTCAGTAAAAATGAGCTTGAAATGTCTGCCTCAAAGGCAACCATCAAACAACTACACTTGTGCGGAGAACATCACCTCCTTAACTCAGGAACTGTCAATCATCCATCCTTCCCTACTCTTTGTCATCCCCAGCAGCCAGACTGCTGCCTATATCTCACAGTGCTGATGAAGGCATCCCAGGCTCCTTGATTAGATGCCTTGGCTCTTCCCCCTTCCCCCACAGTCCTCAGGCTGCCAGTCCCTGAAACCCTCCTAGACAACAGACCTAGATCATCGCATTTGAGAGCTTGTTGATTTGAGTCCATGATTCTAATTTTGAAATTGTTTTCTTATTTTGAGGTAGACTCATATTCTAGAACCCAGGCTGACCTCTAGTTTTGACAATCCTCTTCCTCAGCTTTCCAGTGCAGAGACTATACACAGGAGTTACCACATCAGGCCTGATTGTAATTCTTTCTTCCTTGTACATTGGGAAAATTTCTGGAAAATTCTTTGGCGTTTTAGCTATTACTCTTTAAGTTGTCTCTTCTTTCTTTTCCTTCCAGTTCAAATGGTGTGATTGCTGCTATTCCTTGGCTTCACTGTGTTTTCAACAGTCATGAAGGAAGCACAAGTCTTAGTTTAAAGGGAAATTTCCTCTACCACATAATGTTAGACTTTGTTTTGGTGAGGAGCCTCTCCCCCTCCCCCCCTCTTTCTTTCTCTCTCTCTCTCTCAAAATTATATTCAGGGGTGGAGTAATGGTGCAAAGGTTAAGAGTACTTGCTGCTCTTGCAGAGGACCAGCGTTCAGTTTCCAGCAGCCACATGGTGGCTCACAACCCTCTGTAACTCCAGTTCCAGGGGGTCCAATGCCCTCTTCTGATTTCCCTAGGCACCGAGAACACAGGTGGTTCACATATACACATGCAAGCAAAATACATTAAATAAATGCATCTTTAAAAATATATTAAGCTTTTGATTAGTATACAAACCAGCCGGTTTCATTATGACATGTTTACACGTGTGTACACTTAGACTTTGCTCACATCAGACCTCATTTCTCTTTGACCACTCTTCCCTTGTCCCCTTCCTCTCACTAAAGAGTTCCGTGTTTGCTTTCTGTACAGCTTTTGGCAATGGGTGTGATTTTCCTATCCTCCATCAGTATGGAAAGTCAATACATAGTGTGCTCTGGAGAGACAAGAGTCTGAATAGTGCAAGGGTAGCGCTCTCTCTCTCTCTCTCTCTCTCTCTCTCTCTCTCTCTCTGTGTGTTTGGGGAGTATGCATACAAGTGTGGTGAGGGGCCTGTTGTAGGGAGAGATTCTTTTTTTTTCTAAAAAAATATGGAATGCGTCATGAACTTGCGTGACATCCTTGTGCAGGGGCCATGCTAATCTCTGTATCGTTCCAATTTTAGTATATGTGCTGCCAAAGCGAGCACGGGAGAGAATCTTCATAGGAGTTCTTGGCTCCCCTCCTTTTCCCTTCGGTTTGTGTCCCTCTCCTTCAAATTATCCTTCTTCTTGTCTCAACCCTCGCTGTCTTCCTGGATTTAGTTGCTTGTTTTTCAAGCCCTGTTTACAGAAGAGAGTTTTACGTGGTTTTTCA